ACCGGTCCGTGGCCCGGGGATTGAGGACCGCTGCTTTAAAACCTACAGGACAACAAATTAAAATCCACATATTAGAGTTATTATAATATATCACAAGTCTTCACTACAAAGTAAAAGTTTTAAATACCTAAATATAGTTTTTTATCGATGAGTCATTTTGGCACCATGTGAGGATGCTAGAATAGTTTTGGTTAAAGTTGATGTTGATCAGTGAATTGCCAGTTGAGGAAAGTAAAAAGGTGGTTTCATTAAAGTTTAATAATTTTCTCTTTAAAGGTAAAATCGAAGAATTTGACCACATTCATTTAGATAAACCTAGGCTACATCCACACGTACCCGGGTATTTTTGAAAAAGCTGATTTTTCTATGCGTTTGCACCTTTCGTCCACACGTAAACGGGGTTTTTGGTCACTGAAAACGGAGATTTTTAAAAACTCCGGCCAGGGTGGATATTTTTGAAAACTCCGTTTTTGCGTTTACGTGTGGACGAGATAAACGGAGAAAACGCAGCGTCAAAGGTGTGCGCATTTTGACGTCACACTGTGCGCCACGTTATTGTTTCGGTGAAATGAATTTCTACAATACTGTTACTGTTAATTGTACTCTCTGCAGTGTTTAAATGCTTTCATATACACACACAGTTACTGTCCCTCCACACATACGACTCGGTTCTGCTTCTATGCCCCAGCTTTGTTTACTTTTTCCCACCGAGGCTTCTAGACTTCTGATTGGCCAACATTTCTGCACGGTTAGGAATATAGCGCCACCTGTTGCTTCATTTCTGCCTTTACGTGTGGACGGGGTTATTTTTTAAAATGAAAACGGAAAATCTCCGTTTTCAAAAATACCCGTGTACGTGTGGACGTAGCCCTAGACGTCATCTGGATAACAGTTAAAAAGAATCTGAAAGTCTTGAATGATTTGCCACACACATGGCATCTATACAGAAAATGGATAATGGTCTAATAATGAAACCCTGAGGCACAACATGCCAAACGTAAAATAGATGCATTTTTGTTAATAAGGTATCAGAAAACATGGTTGGACTGTACTGCACAGAAACTGACCTTGAGTCAACATGTCTTTCCATCTGTAGGATATGATCTCCCATGGGAGTGTAAAGGAGAGGGATGGGAGTATCCCTCCACCTTTGCCCCTCCTCTGCAGGTGGCCATTGAGGCCAGCGATGGAGCGTCGGACTACGGCAACAAGTTTGGAGAACCTGTCCTCTCAGGTAGGAAGATGGTACATACTAAACACATAAGTTTAAACAACAACACAAATCCAATATTATCTCTGTTGTTGCAGAAAATTCATTTTGTCTCTTTTCCTCAGACTGCTTCCCCAAAAACATTGCATCTTTAAATCTGTAACCTGTTTTCTAACATAACTGTACAAATTTATGAATGACTATTGAATTATTTTGGCACTGCTTTAACATATAACCCTCCTTTAGGCTTTGCTCGTTCCTTCGGCATGCGGCTGGCTAATGGGGAGCGACGGGAATGGATTAAGCCGATCATGTTCAGTGGTGGTCTCGGTTCTATCGAAGATATCCACGTGAAGAAAGAAGCGCCAGAGCCTGGTGATGCTTTAACACACTGTGTGAAATGACGTTAATCAATTCAGAGGCTATATTTACACACATTGATCAGAGACTCTCTGCTGCTCTGCTGTCCATCAGGAATGGAGGTGGTGAAGATCGGAGGGCCGGTGTACAGGATCGGTGTAGGAGGAGGAGCAGCCTCTTCTGTTCAAGTATGGACACTACAATTGATCAATGACCTCGCGTGACGTGAATGTTTTTCAGTATTTAAGTACATGTAAACTTGTAGGTCCAGGGGGACAACTCCAGCGACAGGGATCTGGGTGCTGTCCAAAGGGGAGATGCTGAGATGGAGCAAAAGATGAACCGTGCTCTCAGGGCATGCCTGGAAAGAAGTGGCAGAAATCCGATCTGCAGTATACATGATCAGGGGGCAGGAGGAAATGGTGAGGAAAATGTGGCTTCTTTAAGAGGTTATTTAAAGCTGAAATGAGAGAAAAACCAAGGTATTGAACCTATACTCTCATTTCTTTTTTTAGGTAATGTGCTCAAGGAGCTCAGTGAGCCAGCAGGAGCTGTGATATACTGCAGTAGATTCAAGGTAAACACCACATGAACACAGCTTTCCGTTTGTGTTTTTAAACACATTTCTTGTATCCTCTTTTAAATCCAACAAGATAAATGTCTGGATTTATTTTTATGCTTGTGTTGTAGAAAGGTGACCCCACACTGAGTGTGCTGGAGCTTTGGGGGGCTGAGTATCAGGAGAGCAATGCCCTCCTGCTGCAGCCATCAGACCGCTCCTTCCTGGAGAGGGTGTGTCAAAGGGAGAAGTGTCCTGTTGACTTTGTGGGAAACATCACAGGAGACGGCAAGGCACGTTTTAGACTGGCTCGAGTCGATAAATGCACATCTATCATACCGGTCATTTCACCTTGTTGGCTAGGTCATAATGCCACAAGTGTCTCGCTGAGTAAATCCACGCTCAGTGAATTACTGATTTCTCACTCAGATTGTGCTGATCCATGACGAGGGAGGAAGCGGCGACGAGGCAGACAGCGGGCGTCGTCCTGTGGACTTGCAGCTGGAGTGGGTTCTGGGAAAGATGCCGCAGAAGGAGTTTAAGATGGAGTCACTGGCCCTGAATCATCAAACACTGAGTCTTCCTGCTGGGCTGACTGTCAAAGATGCTCTGCACAGAGTTTTACGTTTGCCTGCTGTGGCGTCCAAACGCTACCTGACCAACAAGGTGTGTGTGTATATACCCGTCTTACAGTCTCTTGTTTTTAGAAATAACTTGTGCAGACACTGATTCTCTCTGTTGTCTCTCTCTCCCTCCATCAGGTGGACCGGTCTGTGACTGGGTTGGTTGCCCAGCAACAGTGCGTCGGCCCTCTTCACACCCCATTGGCCGATGTGGCTGTTGTTGCTCTATCACCTTTCAGCCTAGAGGGAGCAGCAACAGCCATTGGGGAGCAGCCAATTAAAGGGCTGGTGTGTCCTGCAGCAGGGGCTCGCATGGCTGTGGGTGAGGCTCTGACCAATCTGGTGTTTGCAAGGGTAACAGAACTAAAGGTGAGTAAATATGCAGAAACAAACAAGCTTAATTAATGTATCGCAGATATGCAAAAATGTAAAAAGGTGTATTTTAAATCCCAACATGATGTAATTATTAGAATTGTATTATTATTATTATTTTTTTTTTTTTTAAATCTTGTCAGGATGTGAAGTGTAGTGGTAACTGGATGTGGGCTGCTAAGCTGCCTGGAGAGGGGGCGTGCCTGTGGGAGGCCTGCCAAGCCATGTGTGCAGTCATGGGTCAGCTGGGAGTGGCCATCGATGGAGGCAAGGACTCTCTGAGCATGGCTGCTAGAGTTGGAAAAGAGACGGTCAAAGCTCCAGGTACTGTGTGTGTGTGTGAGAGAGAGAGAGAGAGAGAACTGTCTAAACTTAGCTTTCGCTCTGCTTCTTTTTCAGGTGCTCTTGTTATTTCAGCATATGCTGTTTGCCCTGACATCACTGCTACTGTGACGCCTGATCTCGAGGATCCAGATGGCAAAGGTATAACGCACACACCAAGACTCAAATCTGTCAGTGTTTTAATGGCATAAAAAATAAGTTAATTTTCCTTTATTTTTGTAGTTTTTTTATTTCTATTTTCATGCTTCCCTAACTCACGCAGCGCACATCGTGATCTCAGTAACAGACAGCTTGCCTTGACTTTTTGTCCTCTGTCTGCAGGCGTGTTGTTGTGGGTTCCTCTCAGTCCAGGCCTTCATCGTCTAGGAGGCTCTGCCCTGGCTCAGTGCTACAGCCAGCTGGGAGACTGCTCTCCTGACCTGGACCAGCCAGAACTATTGACAGCCTGTTTCAACACCACTCAGAAACTCATACACGGTCAGTTTGCACAGGGTAAACATCTCCCTGCCACAGAAAGGGAAAAGTTGGCATCGAATTATACTGGGAGCAAAGTTTTCTTCAGTGTTTTTGTCCCCCCCCCCCTTTCAGTTTTGTTTAAATATTCCATTAAATTCTTACTGCACAGCCACAGCTCTGCACTGTGACGAGAGAGCCACCTAGTGGCTTGGAAAGCTCCTAAAAAAATAAGAACAACAACATGTAATCTGTTTTGTGTCCTTTCAGATCGCCTGCTGAGTGCAGGTCATGACATCAGTGACGGAGGCCTTCTTACCTGCTTGCTAGAGATGGCGTTTGCAGGAAACCGTGGGATTGATGTTGAATTGACTTCACAAGGAGCTGGAGGTTAGAGCCTGAATGTGTTATTTCCCTTTCCTTACCAGTTAATTACACATGCATAATGCAAAATAACTGTGTCTTTACAATTTTTTGCCACGTGCAGCCATGGAGCTGTTGTTCAGCGAGGAGCTGGGTTTGGTTCTGGAGGTTTCTCAGTCAGATTTAGAAACTGTGTGTCAAAGATACAGCGATGCAGGCGTCCAGTGCCTTCATATCGGCAGAACATGTGGCTTTGGACCAGAAGCCATGGTGAGATGTTAAACCTGGCACGGACTCGGGTCTTGTGTCTTTGTAAGGGATGACCGCTGTCTTTCATCTCACTCGTCTTCCAGATCAGGGTCCGTGTAGATGGAAAGGAGGTGCTGAGGGAGCTGCTGCCTGACCTCAGAGCAATGTGGGAGGACACGAGTTTCCAGCTGGAGCGTCTCCAAGCCAATGAGCTGTGTATTAAACAGGAGGAGGAGGGGCTATCAAAGAGGACACAGCCATACTTTAAACTGACCTTTAACCCCTCTGAAATGCCCACCATCAGCCAACCTGGTATCAGTGACTTATTGTACTCCAGAATTGGAATTAATGGTTGTTTTTATTATGAAGTCAAACACTCTTTGATTATTTAATTGTCTATAAACTATAGTTTAGCATAACAGTTGTACATGCTGTGAGGGTGCATCCCCACTGGGGAAGTCCTCCAGGAACAACAAACCTTTGAAACATTTTATTCAGTTCGCTAGTGTTTCAAACTGCCAGTAGCAACACTGAACTGATGCAACAGCTAGCCGCTAACTGGTAATGCATTGTCATCCATTGTTGTTTTTCTTTATAAGTCTGTTTTATCTTATATATTTTCCCTTTACATCATTTCCCAGTGTGCTGAATGGAATGAAACCATATTTATTTAATGGTTGGACAGCACCACTAAATTCTTAATCATTTAAATTCAGATATAATCATTTATTAATTCTCTGATTTTTTTTTTTAAATTGTTTTTTTTGTATTTTAAACTGTTCTGCTCTTTTAGCACGTGTTGCTGTGGTCAGAGAGGAGGGCAGTAATGGAGATCGAGAGATGTCTGTCTCTCTGTACATGGCGGGCTTTGAGGTCATTAACAACAGCCTTATGAACTCTGCTCATCTAAATCTAAACTGTGTTGCATGTGTTCATTATTGAGCTTTGTAATGTAAATGTGTGTGTAGGTTTGGGATGTCACCATGCAGGACCTGTGCACTGGCTCACTAACCCTGGACCCTTTCAAAGCAGTTGTCTTTGTTGGTGGTTTCAGCTATGCAGACGTCCTGGGATCAGCTAAAGGTAATCGCACTCGCATGCTCTCAGACGTAAACCACTGTGAGGTACATATTCTTTTTTTCCTGCGTAACAATATTACTTTTTCATAAAGGTTGGGCAGCTACTGTTGCCTACAACCCCAAAGCCAAGGCTGAATTTGATCGTTTCCGACAACGTGAGGATACAGTGAGTCTGGGCGTATGTAATGGCTGTCAGCTGCTCACCTTGCTGGGCTGGGTGGGAGAGAGCGAGGAAGGAGTGGGTAAGAGGACATAGGCAGAGAAAGCCATTGAAATGTTTCTTGAAAATTGAAATAAAGCAACACAATACCTTAGTAGTGAATTAAAACAGAATTGTTTAGAATAATGTTTTTTTTCTTGGCTTTTTTATTCTCACCAGAATCTGAAGTGGTGCTGAGTCACAATAAGTCAGGCAGGTTTGAGTCGCGTTTTGTCAGCGTTGGGATCCAGGACTCTCCATCCATCTGGCTGAGAGGCATGGAGGGCTCAGCGCTGGGAGTCTGGGTTGCACATGGAGAAGGTAAAGTCAGATCAACATGAGAGGTCTACTGCTACTGGTTTAAACGAGCGAGCTTAGTATCATGACAGTGGGTCACAACTTACTGAACTAAATTACAGTGGTAACTTACGCTTAACTTAAACTCACCAGCTGTAAAAACAGTACTCACAAACCAGTTCTGTTCTATTGGAAAATGGTGTCTTAGAACCGCGGTCCCCAACCCCCAGGCCGGTACCGGGTCGTGAGAGTTGAGACTTAGGTGTGAAATTTATGGTTTTCAGGGTTTTTATCCTAAAAACCATAAATAATAAACCATAAATTATTGTTTTTATCATTAACTTGGTTTCCCTGGGTCTTTCCTTGTGTGTCATGAATAAATTTTCCTTTTTTTTGGTACCGGTACTGGGTTTATTTTGTTGTATTTATCCGCAACACCTTAAAGGCCAGTCTATGAAAATATTGTTGGACATAAACTGGTCTGTGACGCAAAAAAGTTTGGGGACCGCTGTCTTAGAAGACACTAGAGTAGGGGTGGGGGAACTCTAGGCCTCAAGGGCCAGTGTCCTGCAGGTTTTAGCAGGTGTCCTTGATCCAACACAGCTGATTTATATTGCTAAATTACATCCTCAACATGTCTTGAAGTTCTCCAGAGGCCTGGTAATAAACTAATGATTTGATTCATGTGTGTTGACCCAGGGTGATATTTAAAACCTGCAGAACACCGGCCCTTGAGTTCCCCACCCCTGCACCAGAGGATCCTATGGAGTTCAAATATTCAGAGATGATGATAGATCAGGAGTTGATCAACCAAACATGAGCAAACTTGGCCCACAGGGCATCCTAAGCCCAGGATGTTATCAGATCAGATATCATCATGTTGCCTACCAAACATCAAGGGGCTAAAATGATCCATATGTAGCATTTATTCTTACAACAGCTTGCAACTATGTTATGACTGTTCAATTTTCAACAGGCATAAAATAGTATTTTGCATCAACAAGGTGATTATCAAGAAACTATTAGCTGGCAAACTTGGCATATCTTCTCATGATGCACTGTCTCTAAAAACTTTGCAGAAACTGTATAAGTACAAAAGACGATGTGGCAGGCTTAAAAGCTATCTGCAGGAAATGGATAGTAGCTGACAGAAGAGAGAAAAGCAAAAACCTGGCATAAGACCTGAGAGATGACATGTTTCTCTTCAGCTGATCTATCTGCTGTTCACTAAACCCTCATCAGAAATAGTCTCGGTGGAAGGTTGGCTGACGAGAAGTCGTTTTTGAGGGAGGGAAATGGAAGTGGGGGAAAAAAGCTGAGGTATATCAGATTACACAAGAACTGGACCGAAAATCTGTGACATCTGTAAAACACGTTGGAGGCTCTGTCGTGGTTCGGCCATGGTGTTGGGATCTTGTCAGAATGTATGGAATTATGAATATAGAAAAGTATGCACTAAAAGTGGTCGTAGCCAAAATGTTCTAGCTTTATATATTTCCATTAAAATTTTGCACATGTCAATAAATCACTCAGCTATTTATCATTTTTCTAGCAGAATGTACAGAAATGGTGAGCCCCCCTCTTTAAACTTGCATAACATCAAAGATTAATCTGGTTGCCTAACAAGTCAGTGGGTCAGTATGCTCCGTAATCAGCACCTGTGTTTAGTATTGATTTTTCCCCTAACCTTTTTCTTTCCCGTAGGTCTTGTGCAATTCTGTAGCTCTCGGGCTCAGGACCTGATTATTTCTGGTGGACTAGCCCCCCTCCGTTACCTTGACGACCAGGGTCATCCCACTGAAGAGTACCCTCTCAACCCCAACGGCTCACCTCAGGGTATCGCAGGACTCTGCTCCAGGGATGGCAGACACCTGGCCATGATGCCCCACCCGGAGCGCTGCACCCTGACCTGGCAGTGGCCCTGGGCCCCGAGGGACTTCAGACCTTCTCTCACACCTTCACCCTGGCTGCATATGTTCAAGAACGCAGCTTCTTGGTGCAGCAATCAAGAGTGATATTCCTCCATTAACATGTTTCTAGTGCTGTCAAAGTAGGGGGTCAACTAAAACTGCCATGTCTGTTTACGTTTTGTTGCCCAGCTTTTTACCCACTGGGGTATGCTGGTGTTTATGCATTAATACTGCCTGTTATACTTTATTGACTTATGGATTAAACATGAATTCCATAGGTTTAATCTGTATATTGTACAAAACTGCAGGTCTGCTGTTATTAGTGTTGGTCTGCTGAAACATCCACTACTGAACTTGCTAACAATAAATGATTTAATACTGGAAAAAAGTGGTGTTGTGTGACATGATAAAGAACAGCTATATAAATCAATAAATATTGTTTATTTAAACCATAAAAACTTAAATTTATACAATGTCAAGTATTTACATGGATGTCAATAATACAGTACTGATGTGACACATGTTCTGTAGCTTACTGGAACAACACGTTTGGTTTTTTTTTAATATATATATATATATATATATAATGGTCCTAAAAGACCCCTATCTGTGTCTCTGGGAAATCACAAGCTAAAAAGAATAATATAGATTATTAAAATATAAAAATAAAAGATGCATGTTAATAGACACTGGTACAGATTTTTTTTAAAAGGGAAAACAAAGACAAGTCAAACACTTAAGGACTCAAGAAGGGTTAAGGATTTGTAACCACATCTGAACCTACAAATTGCATAACGTCGTATTTTTAGTTAGTTTAGCATGAACTCTGTAAACAGTTCACAAAAACACCTGGAATCTGAATCTACATTTAGGGAGGCTCAGACAACCTCTAACACCTTGACTGTTGCATGCTGTGCAGTTGTCAATATTCTTCTAACCACTAATCCAGCCAGAGGGAAGAAATTCAATAAAAGTCCATGTCTAACAGCTTGTGCTGCCACGCTCCAGCTGCTCATGCTCTCTAAAGTGAATCTCCCATCACTCCCTGTGAGGTTGTAGCATTTCCAGGTTGTCCTCTCTCTGGTGTTATTTGCTGGTTGATATTGATAACGCAGATAAGGAGCAGGATGACCACCACCAGGTCGTCCAGGAGACCTAGCAGTCCACAGAGAGAGGGGTCTGTTTCTAGGGTGCTCGATGAAGACACGGCATCCAGAGCAGGGGAGGAGATGGACATCACGGTCCCCACGCAGCACAGGGCAACCCTGAACAGAAACAGCCACACGAGTCCTCCCATGGTGCCCAGGCCACGAACCAGTAACTGCAGAAGCAGGGGGGTGTCACAGAGGTAGTCCGTTACCTGGAAGGGTGAGTATGCAGGAGGACGTCAGACAACCAGATACCAAACATTTCAAGTTGGAGCAATCAAAAATGATCCACAAGATTTTTGACTGAGCACTTCGACATGGGTCAGGGGTATTCTGCTGATTTCCTGATGCTGCATTTATTATATTTGTGTCTCTTAAAAGCAAGAAATAAATTATTCTAAATGTATAGTCAAAAGTAGTTCCAGTTCTTAAGCATGAACGCTACAGGATATGTTTTCAAAGGGAAAAAAAACACACAAAGAAGGTCATGTGGCTTCTAGGTGTGTCATTGTGAGCTGTTGAGCTCATACCTCCTTTGTCTATCGCTGTTGGTTAAACAGGACAATAACTGCTAGGTTGCATAAGAAGTATTCCCTTTTCTAACTCTTCGAGGAAATAATGAAAGAATTCTTTTCTTCCCTTTCAGATCCCCTGATAGATACCACGGCTTATGATATCTTAGAATAATAATAATAATAATAAAAGTACTCTTGGCTCTTTGATAGGTGAGTTTGCTGTTGGGGAGTAGCAGTACAATGATGTTACTGATGTTTTAACAGAGTACTGACCCTGCGTGGAGCTCCAGAATAACGTTTGTTGTAGGCTGTGATTTCATCGAGAACTTCTTTTGACTGCTGGTCTGATCGGGTCTCGTTGAACAGGTGGCAGAGCACGCTGACCTGCAAGATTGCAAGCATATTTATTTCACGGCCACGCTCGTAACACATTTATGATGTACAGTAAAAGAACTACGAGAATACCGCACCTTCTGTCTGCAAAGAGGACAACTGATTGCATCTAACCATGACCCATGCCTCCAGTAGGTGATAAGACAGGGAGCTGCAGAATCAAACACAACTATTTATTTAACTCGTCATTTAATCTGTAACAGATAGTATCAAGGTTGGATGAGTGCATTCATGCCATAAATGTTACTCAAAAGCTACAGATATGAACATCTAATTGACCATCTCAGATATGCCCGAAGAAATTCCAGGAGAAACACTTCCTAATAGGAATTTGCAGAATTATCCAGAATTTCAGGTTCTCAGTTCTACTGTTTTGGGGGTTTATTTTTAAGCAATAAATTTATGCACAGTCATGGTTCTGGGTCATAACTCTGCACAAATTGGCTTTTGTTGTTATTCTTAAGCAATCTTTGGCTGCCACATATAAATATGAGATATTTTAAAAAATTCATATTGGAAACATGAGAGATCACCATCCCAAGTTTTGGATATTCTTCAAAGAATATTATGTGCCTTGAATATGAGAAGCTGTGAACAAAAATATCAGTCCTCTACCTGCAAAAATGTGGTGTCTTTAGGTCTCCAAATCTGCTGATAGAGATTGGACATAATATTTCAGGGATTTCAACAACAGTCATTATATGCTATCCACTCTTGAGACTCTATATTCATAGTGCCATGTTACCAGATATTTACACCAGAAAACCGAAGGATCTAGCTCAAGTTATTTAAAAAAAAACAATCCCTAAATGACAGAACCTGAAATGTATTCCCCATTGACAAGTCAATCTTTCTCCTGGATTCTTTTTTTCGGGCAAATCTAAGGTAGAATGACCCTGTAGCAAAAATTACAAGAGCCCTTCTCAAAAGCAGATTTGTAAAGACCTGAACATTTTTACATGGTTAGCCTAATATACGGATACGAGCTCTGTTTTTTTATTCTATGTATTATACACCTCTCAGGTCAACTCTCCTTAATGCTCCAAGTGTAGATTATGAATTTGGGTTAATGATGTTGAGGTTTTGCTTTCCTAGTAGCTGGCATAAAACCTCCATCTCGCATCGTCTGTGAACACATACCTTACTGTGTTTGGTCGTTTGCTGCTCTATCTACAAGTGTAATGGGTGGACCGTGGCAAACGTTAATTATTAAAAGCCAAACAGATGGGCCAAACAGATGGGCCTGGAACAGCTACAGCACACTACTTCTACACTGATCAGTGAATAAAGCGCATAAACTAAGACACGAAGTGTGAGCCCTAATCACAGATGATTGACCGAACGGGTGTGTGCATAAAATAATTAGAGTCTGAGAAGATTTTGGTCAGTTTGTGTAAATGTGTGCAGGATCTCGTACCGCAGAACAAATGGCCGCAGTTCGTCTGGACTGGGAATCTGGCCGTCTGCAGGCAGACTGGGCAGTGCCAGTCTCGTCTGTTCGAAGACTGACGTGCCTGCATGGAGTCCTAAAAACAGGAGAGACGAGGAGACATAGAAGTGAAAAGTAGGTCAGTTGTGGGCAAAAGACCTGCAACTGACAAATAAAGGCTATCTCATCTCTCAAGTAGGAAGAAGGAAAAGGACAATGACAGAAGAATCGATAAGCTTTTTCTATTCCTATTCCTGGTGTTCATGGATTTCAAGTGAAATAATCTTTGAAAAGCTTATACCGATGTAACGGTGAAACACAGAACACAAAACAACAGAAAACTTTTGATTTGAGTCATGCAAGCAGTGACATCAACTTCCTCCACCAGACTGTGCCCCCAATAAAAGCAATAAATTACCTTTTTTATAACACAGGAAGTGTCTTATAAATAATGTTTTCCCAGTTTCCGTGTAGGAGAAACTGTTTTAAAAATCCAAATTAATGTAACTCTTTAAGTTAAACCACGAGATTCACCCAAGTGCTTCAGAGATAGTGACAAACAGAAGTGTAACCCCCACTGAAAACAAGGAAATATAATAAGCCCCTGCGTGACATGAGCTTTACTGTGAGTGTATGCGTTTGTGTGAACCACTCACCTTTAGGCAGCTCATATACATTGATGTTGACTGATCAGGTGTGCACAGCAAATACGTGGATTATCCTACGGGCGACCCTGACTCAGTGGAACTTCAGTCTGATCTGAAACATGACATGACATAGCAACATAGATAAACACACCTGTAATGCAAGTTTATCTAAATAATGATTTAATTATTGATGCGTGAGATAAAGAGAACAGAAGCTCAGCTCTTCTCTGTTTGCGGATTACGGCTACTGATGCTCCGACTTCAGCGTTCGGACTGCTAATTTAAATGGTTTGTAAAGCTTAGCCTGCACTAACAGGTGAAATTATTTTTCCAGATGGAAAGATGAAACTATTAATAACGATATGCTCAAATCAAAGAAGGCTGCAGATTTCATTTGTCAAATAACTTCAGTATCAATTTATGGCTTAGATCTTAGGTCTGGTCTTTCATACAAATCAAGAAATCTGTAAGAAACACACTCAACAAATTCCCCCAAACCTTCTTTAACAATTTGGTAAAGCACAAAATCATATTTCTATTACAGAAAACATTGGAAAAAAGACTCACCTGGACTTAAATCTGTTGCACGGGTTTATAGAGGTTAGGCAGATAGATAATCACTCTCTTCTAGAAGGAAGTGAAGTGCTGCCCAACAGCATCACTGAACAAAATAAATTGAAGCTCCCTGTTAATGATCAACTACATTTTCCAATATCAGCTGGCCTGAGAGTCTTTCTACTTAAAGGGGACAGCATTGTGGTCAGATCAATACATTGGTGCTTTGTACAAAACTCACTTACTTCCCTTTAAAATAGGCAGCTGTCAACCTTTAGTCTCAAAAAAATACAAAAAAACGAGAAAAAAATCAACATATTTGTCCCTTCAGTCTGGCCAGCGGTAACCGGTTTGGGTCGCATGACCAGATCAAAGCCAGAAAAGATTCCTCCTACGCTTTGTTTAAGTAGGTTATATTTGAACTTGCCAATAATTTACCCAGAGTTTACTTAGCCAAAACCTTGTCCATGCAATGCTTTTTTATATTACTACACTAAGGGTACTTCAACTGATCCTTTGATCCAAATCCAAGTTGCAATGTGAAAGCAAGAAATGTCCAAATCGGTGGATAGTAAAGCCATTAAAAACAGAGTACTACATGAACATAGCATTGACTTATTGTGGCAAATATTTGTGGCAAAGCAACCTCTCTGGTAGTGCCAAATGTTGTGACAGCCATCACGTACTTTTCCAAGGCAGCTATTGCAGAAATATCTTGTCAAATATTTGCCCTGGCACTTCACCATACCTTAGAAGCTAAAAAAGGGAAGTTCATGTGGATCAAATCCTCTAAAAATAGCCACTATAGGGTCAAGGTCTGAGTGGCAGAAATCAGGAGATAAATGAGGTCCTCATCCAAAGAGAGTTTAATGGGTAAAGTCCAGAGTCAGTTCAAGCACGTACTATTTTACGAGTGTGTCAAATTTTAGCTTTGATTTGTGATGATTAGGTTGCTTGCTGAGTGATGTAACAATCCCCTTATAATAGGTGCTCTTTAAGATTTGTTTGTAATTTTCCATGGTGTTGCTTGGGAAAGCATGTGACACAGAGAAGATTTCATATCAACTAGACACAACCTCATGTGAGGCATAAAATAAATGGGTAACTTGAGAAATTTATTGCCTTCATGGGAAATGATTTACTCGCAGAGAGTAGCTGACATGCTGCCAGGGTTTTAGTGGCTCTTTGGGAACAGTGCAGATTACAGAAAATACTTGTGTAGCCAATAAAACGTGTCCTAGGGATTATCATTCCAACAGTATTTATCTTAAAGCTCTGCCTAAGAAAATTTGCTATGCAGGATTTTTAATTTGTTGGGTGTGATAATAAAATATTTTAAAGCAGCGAAGCCAAACATGATATAAACTGCAGTTTGACTTGTTTCAAGCAGCAAATAGTTTGAAATATTTACCTTTGCCTTCAAATCTGATTGTATTTTTTGGGAATTCGATACTGTCTGGTTTTTCCTTAAGTTATCATATCAGTGTATAAAGACTTTAGTCATGATGCTGTAGCCTCGAGCAGGGTTTTTACTACTTAACTGTTAACTGCAGGTGAAATGACGACCTCATTTGGGGGAAATGGATACTGTAACCTTTATAGAACACAATAAATAATACTAAATTAGCCACGCTCCATTTTCTTCTAATACCTTTTTGTTTTCCTGTTCCCTAATATCGGTGGGCAAAGAAAACGACTGAGCGGACAAAAAATGTGTTTATTTTGTGCAGATAATTGAGGCGTACACGAATTTCAAATCAAACTGTCTGATTGGCCAGAGTGTGGAGTCACAGCCGTCAATCATCCCCGATCTTAATACCGATTGGTTTCTGCTTAGATACCCTCTCACTTCGCAACAACCCAACCTGTAAGCAAGAAGAAGAAGCTACGCTATTCGCGTACATCTTACGCAAACTTAATTCAGACAGGTCTTCACTCGTCTTCAAAATACGTATCTGACGTTAGATAGCCACCTTTGGCAGCAGGTGAGGTCAAATGCTGAGGGACAGAGCGGAAGAGCTTTGGCGACAGGTGGAGGAAGAAATATTTTAGCTTTAAGCTAAAAGGCAACAAATGGACGAAAACAAGACGGAGCTGGTCGAAAGCCTCATAATATGGGTGAGTCTATTTGTGAATGTGTCGCCGAAACCGCGGAAGGGATTTAAGTCACCTGTTCGTAGCTGGTGGGGGTGTCAACGAAAGAAACTAGAGAGAAAATGAAGGAAATCTGACGATTTGTTCGGACGGTGTAATGGCAGAATAAGGTCGTTATTAGAGAGATTAGCTTCTTGTGCAGCTGTTGTTCGTCTCTGTGACCCCATAGGTAGGAAATGTAGCTGGGGGCGGGGGTCCTGCAGTCTGCTGAATGTAAAGTTAACACCTAGCAGGTGCAAAGATAAAAATCCTCTCGTTTATGTGGCTTGGCAAGACTCGGGCTGCTAATCCAATTAACAAGGGGGGTATTTGCGGAATGTCGCGGTTTGGATTTTTGCTAATGTTATGTAACTGCTTAAATGTAGCAAACAGCAGCAAGTAATAAGGCACTTTGCGCTCACAGAGAACAAACAGTTTTGCTGCCTGTCTTGTGGTTAGTAATAGGATAAGCGCTGAGTTAATGAGATCTCGTCCAGGATCCACGATTGCTGTGTCTGTCAGTAAGCCACTTTGTTGAACCCGTAACTTTGAACAGCAGTGTCACTAAGTAACGGGTCAACTTACCCAATGCCAAAAAACAAGAAAATGTGTAAAGGTGTCCCATGAAGGGAGTAAAACTTCCTATAAACTCTTCAAAACCGTGCTTGGTGGTCTTTAAATTTTATCGTGGCTATAGCTGCACTGTTCTTGCGGAAGGATGTTGATATTAGACTGGGAGAATTAACCGTACACCGCTTGAATTATTTACATCATCATGTAAGCAAGAAAGCCTTTGTCTTTACTTGGGTCTGCGGTGGTTTCTTTGCCACTGTTGTCCTGTGTGTCCCTGTACATCCTCCCCTAAACATTTATCATTTCTTCTATGTCCTAGTGCTGCTCGATTATGGGAAATGTTATAATTGGAATTGTTTTAGTCAATATTGAGTTGTTGTTGTTGTTGTTGTTTAACTCAGTGGTTTGACTTTGGAAACATTTTGCAAATGTAGAAAAGTAAAAAACACTGCTATAAATGAGACAAACAAGACTAAAGAAGAACACAAATGAAACAGTGCTAAGTGATGATGTGTCTTATTCTGTCCTCTCATCCTTCCTTATTCTCTGTAGGGGTTTTGAAACTACAGTGCAGTGAAAACTATTTGCCACCCTTCTGATTTCTTTTTTTAAATTTTTTTAGGTTGTTTGTTTTTTTGTCCCATGATGTTTCAGATCATCACATTTTAATATTAGACAATGATAATCCCAGTAAAAAAAGGTGCAGTTTTAAATGATGATTTTATTTGTTAAGGGAAAAAAGTTTTCAAACCTACTTGGCTTATTAATGTTGAAAAATAAATCGCCCCTCCCCCTCCTTTTAAATCATAATTAACTGTGATTAACCAAAATTTTTTTGGAAGCCTGAGTTTAATTTCACTATTAAATCACAAAATCACTTAGATGGAACCTGTCTGACAAGGTGAAACAGGCTAAAAAGTCTCAAAAGGTAGCAGCGAACCACAGTGAGACCCATTATCCACAAATGGAGACAACTTGGAACAGTACTGAACAGTGGTAAGCCTACCAAAATTATCATCAAGAATCCATCAATGACTCATCATGAAGGTCACAAAAGAACCAGGAACCTGGAAGACTGCACGTTTCCCTTGCATCAGTCAAGGCTGATCTTTGCAATTAAGAAGGAAATTGAGCAAAAGTGCCATCCATGGTTCCAAGGATAAATCCACTGCTGACCAAAAAGGAAACAAAGGCTTGTCTCACATGTCCAAGACTTTTGGAGAAATATACTGTGGAGTGACAAGACACATTGAACCTTTTCAAATGTTTGCATCCCATTACATCTGGCATAAAACTATCATACCATTTCAAAAACAGTACATCATGTCGACAGTCAAACGTGGTGGTGCTGGTGGTAGTGTGATGGTTGCTTTGTTGCTTCAGGACCTGGACAACTTGATGGTGACATAAATTCTGCTCCGACAATCAGTTTGTGGCTGAATTCAAACAATTCTGCAAAGAACAGTTGGCCAAAATTCCTCCACAGCAGATGTTCCCAAAGTTAAGAGTGCTGCGGCCCATTTAAAAATGAAAGATTCCAGAGGGGCCTGCCATCATTAAATCTCTACTCTTTACAAAATATGAAACAGTGCTCAATTTCCATGAAAATTTATAAAAAAATAAATAAATAAGTGGCTATAAATTGTTAATGCTACCCAGTCATATGCAAAGTATAAAGGCCAACGTTTGACCCACTTGCCACTGCAGCACAAACTTCAATAATAGTAAATTTAGGTCAGAGTAATGTTCTGTTACCAGTTTTAAATCACCTTTTTATATAAATAAATACATTTATATGAACATGTTACTGTACATACTTGTGAGTAATTTCACACTGAATTTCTGTTATTACTGTGGCCCACCAGGGGGCCCTGGCCCACACTTTAAGAATCACTGCTGCACAGCAACCCGAGACACTCATTGTCACTTAACACAAACACTTGCAGTTCTTGCTGCTAAGGGTGGCGCAACTAGTTATTAGGTTTAAGGGGCAATTACTTTTCAGGTATGTCCAGGTATGTTTAAATAGCTTTGTTCCGTTATTTAAAAAAATCATAATTTAAAGGGTTCTTTCTATAATAATATTTGTTTGATCTAAAACAGGTAAAATCTTCTTTGCAAATATGCAAAGAAGTAAAAAATAGAAAGGGGGCAAATACTTCACAGCACTGTATGTATGGCATCTCAGAATCTTTGTAATGTTGTAGTTAAAGTCTTTAAAATATATTTGCTGGTGCACTACTATATTATTCCCTTGGTTTATCAGTCATCATAATATTATTTTGTTTTTTGCCTCTCAGCTGCAAACTTTCAACACTCCTGCACCCTGCCAAACAGTGGAGGAGCTGACCACTGGAGCAGCAATGTCACAGGCTCTGCATCAGATGTGAGAGCACATGCTTTATTTATTTCCAGCCAGTTTCGTTAAGCTTGAGTAATTCATGTCACACTCCTGC